CAATGACACTGGCTTCTGGAATGCTATATTATGAGTCAATGGCTATCCAAAGTGGCAGTGATATAAGACTGAGCATAAGTGTGTTAAAATTATTAAGACATCATGAACAAATTGTCCATCACTCATCTGTTTTATATACGTGTATATAACGTGACACTGTGTCTTTATGCTATGACCCTTGGTATACTGTTCACATAAAGCGATTTCAGCAAGTACATTTTCCTGTGAACAGTCTGTACCTCATGTACTGTTACAGCATTATCATCGTGCCTGCCGTGATACTAGGTGGAGCACAGAACAGATGCCACTGAAAAGAGCAAACTAAGAACCCTGCCTGTCAGAGTCCATGGTTTCCAAGATACATCCAAATATACAAACATATCTGTCTGAACACAATGTTATAGGTAAACACTAAGTAAACATCAAGGGTTGTTCCTCATCTTGTTGCTGAAGTCCTTCATGGGAAAGATGTGGACAGCAGAGAAAACATATATAAATTAAATATGTTTGTACAGAGCAAGGAAGTAGTGGCCAAAGCAGGCCAGGGAAGATCATACACACATAAGCCACAAGTCAGATCTTAGCAATAATAGTTTAAGTGCTGGTTTTTGTGAGCAGTTAACAATTTTCATGCACTAGGAGAAAAAATCTCAAATTGGGCTTAGTTCATTTGGATGACAGTTTTTCTTAATGGAAGTATTGTTCTGGTAACACCAGATTAACTTTAACATCAACGTGCTCCTAAGACAAGGCTTGAGGCCTATGAAACAGGATATAGGAGCTTTTTGATAGATGAGGCAAGAAATTTTATAACAAGAGGAGGCGGAGATTGACTTCCGCGTGCGGCATGTAACATCTTGCCTTGCCAGTTACGTTGACTGATTATTGACTGGCAGATCTATTATGCCTTGGGGATGTTGAAGAAACTGGTGGGTAGTCTTTGTCCTAGATGCTCTTTCTGCAGCTGTGACAACCACTTCAGTAGTCAGTTACCTTAATGAAATAAGCTACATTAAACACGTGTTCCTTTTAATTCATCCTTTTTCTTCCTTCATTTCCAACAGCTCACTAAGCTCATTGATTTGGGGGTATTCAGAATATCTCTTCTCTATCCTTCCCTTGCCACTGCCAATGGGGTGAGCTGTTAGAAGTCCCTTTAGTGGCTTTCCCCACACTCACAACTCGTGGCAAGAGTCATCAGAACGCTCCATCTGATCGCCTTACTTTTCTCATGGATAATCTCCAAATGCTCCTTTTTGAAATCTGTTATATATCAATAAAGATATATGAAATCTGAACTTCCTCATGTGATTTTCAAGAGCATAAACGATGAGGTCCATCTCCCACCTCAAAATGATTTCTTACTGCTTTCTAAATATCTTTTTCTTTCTCTCCTATAATCTAGTACAGAGGAGGGGAAATTGAGAAAGTAGTGAGTGTGGAAAGAAGAAGCTAATTAGCATTCTTTAAATTCCAGTTCCTTCTGTCATTGTCAGTGCTTTGAGGAGATAGGCACTGGCTGTTCATTCCCCCCTGAAGAAACTAAAGTTAGGAGAGGTTTACCCAAGTTACTACTTGCCCAAAGCTAGAAGAATGATCAGCAAAGCTGGGATTCTGGCCTAGGTCTGTCTGGGACCCTTCTTGCAGTATCTCATTTGTTGTGCTTCTGCAGGCTGTCCCCACACTCCCCCACCTCTAGCAACCAGTATGTGGGATGCCCTTCTTTCTGCCATACCTTTGAGATCCCGTTCCCAGGATAGGCTACCTGAACACTCCAGATCTTCCTAAACACTTCTGTCCTAACCTACCTGAAAGCTTAGCCCCTTTGCCTGACCCTCAAAGTGAGTAGGGTGTCCCCATAACATCCTTTTTTCTCATCATACCAAATATCCTTAATAAACATCTTTACCGATATATAACAGAGACAAATGCACTTAAGTATATAGCTTGATGAAATTCCAAAAATTGAAACCACTCCCTGAAATCACCAACTAGAAATTACCAGCACACACAAGATTCCCCGCATCATGTGCCCTCTTGATGATTATCTCTGCCCCCCTCCCCTTTTCAAAGGTGATCATATCTTGACTACTACATAGATTCATTTTCTTTACTCTCACATTTTATATAAATCAAGTCATACAATCTGGTTTCTATGTTTGGTTCTGAGGTTTATTCTCTGTCATCATATGCAGCAATTATTCATTCATTGTCATTGTAGTATACTGTTCCATTGTATGAAAATCACACTAATTTGTTCATTTTACTGTTGGTGGACATTTTGAATTGTTCGCATGTGGGGGCTAAGATGAATAGTACTACTATGAACATTATTGCAAATATTTTATTGGATATGTGTATATAGTTTGTGGAACTACTGGGCCATAAGTTAAATGTACATTTACCATTAGTAGACAGTGCAAAACAGTTTTCCAAAATGATTATGCTAATTTGCCCTCCCACTGCAAAGCATATTTCCAGCTGCTCTTCATCTTCATCAGCAACTGGTGATGTGTACCTTGTAATTCCAAATTCCCCCTCTCTTTCTCTGTCTTCACCTAGTATGACACCTAGAAGATATCTTAGTAGAAGTCTGGCAAAATAATAAGTGAATGACTCACAAACACATAACTGCTTGCCTCTGTACTCTGTTGTCATCTGTTAAGCACAATAATGGCTACAAGCATAGGCTTTGGAGCCTGACTGTCATGATGTGACTTCTCGTTTCACCACTTCCAGGCCTGCAGGTTAGCTTTCTGTGCTGGTTTTTTCACTTGTAACATCACGTTGTTCCAATGATTAAAGAGATAAAGTACTTAGTACAATGTCTGCTTCTGCTCAGCGGCATTAGCTCTTAATGCTATTATCTATCCTCAGGGCCTGCATTCCACTGGACTCCCTAGAAGTAGATTGGTTCATACGAACCATTGGCATCCCCCCTTGTGAAGCCTGCCCTAAGCAGCCAACTCCACGGAAAGCCTCTGGATGTCTGAAGTTCTCTTTAGCTCTCACTCAGCCCCTGTCATATACATGGGGCGGGAGTCACAGCTCCCCAGGGAGATGACAGATTCCCTAAGTGCAGTGAATGACTTACTCTTCATGGCAGCAGTAGTTTTGAAGTCCCATTTTAACTTGTGGGAATCTTAGCTGATGTTTCTCCAAATCCATATTTGAACAGATCCACAGCTAGAGAGCTATGGAGAAGTGGATTGTTCCCTTTGCAACCATCATGCTCAAATGTAGCTTCAAATGCCAGCAGGGATGTGCCCCAGTCCCCTAGATAAAAGATAGCTCTGAACATACGCTACTTAACATCACAGTACTTAGTAAATATTTACCTTTTTTTTTAAAAATTGATCCCTGTTCTTTCTAGACCTTCCTGTTCTTACCTTGTTCCCTTCCCACCCACTTGTGTTTGGTGTCCTCCCGTTTATGTGACAACACTTGGGACACCTCTGACTCTTATCAGTTCCCAAGCAATACAAATCAGATCTTATATAGTGATTGACTGTAGCCCAATAAGCCAAATGTCTACCTTTAAAGAGGTGAGAATCTTTTAAATCCATGACTAGCCTCTTTGAGTTAACCTTTAATGAGACCGGAGACTCCCAGCCTGCAAGAACTATGTTCAGATAAAAATATGATTTAAGCACTTTTGTTTGGGGAGTATGTAACTGTTATTGATAATGAGGATGGGGGGTGACAACCAAAAAGTCTCGCAGCAGAGCCAGCAGCAGTCCTTACCAGGAAAATGCAGGCTTCAGATTCTCTTTGTCACTGTAGTTGACTTTGGCAGGGATTTAAAAATCCTAATATCTAATATCTAATATCTGTAACTCAAATGCAGATCTGGATGGGGGCCCACCTTTGGCAAAAAGCTGCTGACTTGTTTTGATCGCATTCCTTCACTGGATTAAGAGGGAGAAGGACTAAGTGATCCCCAAACACCTGTTCAGCCCTTAGGAGCCTTGGCAGGTGGGATGTGAGGTGAGATGGAAAGGGGAAAAGATCACACCTGTCCCTGGGCAGAGCCTTGTGCACACGGAGGTCAGGGCAGAGGGAACACAGTGTTTAGAGGGTAAGGCTGCAGCCCCCTCAACTGTTGGACTCCTTATGTGCTAGGCATTTGAGTGACAGGCTTAGAAGAGTGAGAAAGTCCAGACTGTTTGTACTCAGAGATGATCGCCTAATACCGTGCCATCTTCCCCTTGCTCAGGGCAAATTATCCAGTTCAATGGGCTATAGGAGTGGCCCCTGCCTGCCAGACCCAGAGTGAGCTGGGCCCACGTGGTGCTGGGTGCTCGCCGGCTCATGGCTTCTAAGCCAGGGATGTGCTGCTTCTTGCAGATCCTTTTGAGCTGGCACTGATTTGGTTCAGCTCTGGGTACGCTCAGAAACCGGAAGTCCTGGTTATGTTTATCCATTTACGTTTCTGAGGTCAAACATCTTTACCGTTGTTAGTGACATTCTCCTACACTTGCAGGCTACTGTGTTGACTTCCATTTCAATCAACTGCTTGATTGACAAAGTCTGCCTTTCCCATCAGGCTCTATAAGGGCAGAGATTTGCCTGCCTTACTCACTGCTGTATCCCCAGCCTCAGGAGAGAGCCTGGCCCCAGCATAGGCACTCAAATATTTGTTGGATTACCTGCTACGTCAGACAAGCTAAATGTCAGGACAAACAGCTAACTTCACAGGGCAGGCAATAAATACAGGGAACATTACTTCATGGCTGTCCTTGCAAGACTGGTAAATTGAAAAGGATTTGCTGGGTTGGATTTATGAATGACTGACATCATAAAATGCTGCCAAGAGCACCTGGAATATAAATTGGCTTTAAGACTATCCTACACTCTCTTGGAGTCTGAAGCTACAGCAATATTGGAGACAAACCACTGAGATGGAAATTCCAATAGCATTTTGCTGATTTTAAATTTTAAACAGACCCATTACTGCCTCTTTAACTGAAATATACAAAATAACACACATGACAAATTTGTAAATATTTTTCAAGGTTTTATTGCAAACCAAAGTTGGTTTATTACATACACACAAAAAATTGTGTGGTGGGGAAGGGGGAGAATTGTACATATTATAACCATGTTAATTACAGTACTAAAATGGTGGTTTACATTACAAATACACCTCTAAGTTTAAATATACTAGTGTTATAACCCAATGTACAGACTTTCTTTATACAATACATACAATTATCAGGAATGCAAAATAAAACCCATAAATAATGCCCATTTTACAGGTGACATTTTAAACAATGAAAACAACAGGCTTTGACCGACAACTGGGGCATTGGTCCATAAAAACCCTTTCTAAAAATAGAAATATTTGTAGCAGCAATGCTTTCGTTAAGCATCTGAATACAAGTCATTGCAAGACCATTTTCAATAAATTTTAGTTATTAACTATATCTTACAAAAAAAACCCAGTCTACACATAAATTTATCTTCCAAATATGGAAGAAACAAACAATGTCCCACATTGTAGTGTCCTGCAAGTGTCACATTGATGCTTATAACTAAATCTACCTGTGATCAAGCATACCGCACTCATACCACTGTTCATACAGAAAACCCATAAGGAGAAATCAAGAACTGGAACAATTTGCAATAGGAAAAGCTTTGGAGCTAACACAATCTCGTTAGAAAAGGCACATTTCATAAAATTCGTTATCACGGCCTGGACAGACAGACCTTCAGCAGATCCTTCTGAGGACAGCGTCATCCCTCTAACAGGCTATAGCATCTAAGGCGGCGCTCTAACGCCCATTTCAGAGATAGCACCACGTTGGAAGGAAGAATAAAAGTGAAAACCTCATGAGCTCACTGAGAGGAGGATGTGCTCTTTGAAAAGCTTCCAGCAACCAGTGTGCAGTAAGACTGCCAAGATGTGCAAGCTTCCAGAGATGTGCAAATTCTCTCTTAAAATGTCCTATCAGCTGGCAGCTCCGCCAAAATACTAACTAAAACGTTTAGGAACACACATAACATCCTTCACAACCACCCCTAAGACTGTTCAGAGGAAAGAGTCCATGGGAGGTGCATAGGAAAAGCCTAGGAAGGCCTCGGCGGCTTCCTTGACACTGGCTGTGAGGAGGATGCTGTCGGGAGACCTGCCGATGGAGTTGGGGACCGGCTCTTCGGTGAACTCAGGGTCAAAGTGCCGCAGGTCGTTGGGCCCACTCTGTGGAAGGAAGGACAAGATGCACTCAGTGCCAGTGTCAAGAATTCACAGTGGAGGCAGGGCAGGGAAATCTTCACTCAGGCCTTAAATACTGGAGCTCAAGGTTGAGGGCACTGTATGGAAACTCCCATAGTAACTATCCATTTCTAGCACAAAACTCACAGGCCATACCAAGTTTAAATGGTGAGATTAATGTTCACTGTTTGTCTTTGGTTGATAAACATGTTGAAAAGTTATGTCTCCTTGGCTGGGACAAAAATGCTACTTTTTCTTGAGGTACAATAGTGGCCTATGAAGAGGATATATGCCAATTTATTCCCTGAGGGCCCTCCCCGCTCCACCACCACCACCGCAGACTTAGAGGAATACACTCTGGGCCTCCTTATACTTAGGGGAGAGACAGGTACTCACCACATTTGGGTTAAAAGGGGGGGTAATCTTCTTATTAATGAGATCATCCCAGTTAATTAGGGAGAAGAAGACATGATTCTTAATCTCCATCTGTTGAGAAGAAACATGAGATGGATTTAGACAGGAGAATTCAAGGAGAGCAGGGAGGTCTCGTGCACTTCGCAGACAGCCCAGGACAACAGGAAATACGTTACTCACAAAGTCGTCCTTGGCACCCAGCCGCTTTGTCCTGTCCTTCTGCAGAAGGCACTCCAGGAGGTGTCTTGCAGAATTTGTAATATTTGGCTTCAACTGGAGGGGCTTGTTCAGAATGTTGTCATACATTTCAGCTGTGTTTCGGCTATAAAAAGGAGGCTGAAAGAAGGGGGAATGTTACTGAGTACTTAATTGGCAGTTTTGTATAGTATACATAACCCATACAGAAAAAGACTTAAGCTGCATTATATTACACTGGGTTTGACAAAGTCTATCCCTTCATAGGTTTTCTTTGCCCCAGATTTTGAAATGTGTATTCTGCAACCCTTATCGGGGGTATATACTCCTGAGTCACCTTTACCACACTCATGTAGGTTAAGTGTGGTCCTATTTAATAACATGTGAATTAACAAAAGAAAGATCTACTAGGTGAGGGTTTACCCTAAAACACTTACAAAAGAATCAATGTGCCTCTCTTATTGGTAAGTTTACTGATAAAGGGCAACACACCCTTTATCCACGTGTGTGAATGGGGCCTGTGCATCCAGATTAAGTCTGGATTTAAGACTAGGTTCTAGAGAGCATCCTCAAACCGGGGCAGTACTCCACGATTTTCAGTGTTCTGCTTACCAGGCCATACAGCATCTCATATAAGACGGCTCCCAGGCACCACCAGTCCACGGTCCTGTCATAAGGCTGCTTATGAAGCACCTCAGGTGCAAGATACTGAAAGACAAGCCAGGAAAAGAGAGTTTAGAGCCTGTGAAGCCAGGCACTCATAAGACCAGGCATGCACTTTGAAAGGTCTGAAAGATCCTGGGTCCACTTGGAGGATATATTTCTTTAAATTACTCTTTGATAAGACTGCTGGACTTTGAGGCTGACTAGCCACTTACATGTACTGATATTTATAGGAAGCTTTTGGGCATTCAACAGATACCTCACTTGGGGATTTAGAAACCTTTTAAGACATGGATCTTACAAACAACTAGTTTTAATTAAAGCAGCACTAGGCCTTGGAATTTCTCATGCTTAAACAGCACATATACTTTACTTGCACTGGACTAGACTAGAAAATCTCTGCAACGAGCTTACTCTTTTGGTACTTGAAAGCACTCTTGCACCTGTCTCCATGGAAGGCATAGGTGGACCAGGCCCCAAACCATTCGTGCTCCTACCTCAGGTGTGCCACAGAAGGTAGATGTCGTGCCATTGTGCTCAATGTTCTCCTTGCAGAGTCCAAAGTCAGTAAGGACAATGTGTCCCTGTGAATCTAGCAAAATATTCTCTGGTTTTAAGTCTCTGTAAAAAAAAAAACAACAGGAATAGTAAAGTAGTTGCGTAAGTGAATTTCACTTCATTAAGAAATCCTCTGTAAACGTAATTGCTAAGGCTATCAGAAGCATTTTAAATTCACTGTACTGTAGTTGTCTGTGAATAAAAAAGGGAGTCCTTGTTCTGCTAATCTGTTCTGGATTAGGCACAATCTTAGCTGGCTAGTTCCCTTGTGGCATGGAGTCAAGGCGGCTCACATGCTGGGGATTTGGTATTAGGTAACCAAGCTGTACCTAAACACCGATTATTTTCAGGCTCCGTCAAAGGCAAGGACTATGTCTCCTCTGTACCCAGGAGAGCAGCCTACGGAGCTCTTCAGCTCACCTATAAACGATGTTCAAAGAGTGCAGGTAACCCAAGGCACTGGCTATTTCGGCAGCATAGAAACGAGCCCGTGGTTCCAGGAAGCAACGCTCCCTCTGGAGATGGTAGAACAGCTGCAAGAGGCAGAACAAAGTCAGTCTGGTTTGCTGAAGCCTCATAACAATGCACTGAATTAGTCTTGACATATACTGCTAAAGAGAACAATTGCAGGAAGTGGCCCTAAATAGTCTATTAACTATTTGAGACCTGGTAAATTAAAGGAAGTGCTAATTCTGGTGACTTTCCTTAAAATATCTCTTAAAAACTTTCTTTTCAAACTAAAACTAAGTAAGTAGGCTCTGCCCAGACCCTCCGGGGTTAGCTCTTATTCCCTCTGCTCACCTCTCCACCGTTTATGTAGTCTAGGACAAAGTACAACTTGTCAGCAGTCTGGAAAGAGAAGTGAAGGCCCACCAGGAAAGGGTGTTTCACATTCTTCAGTAGAACATTCCGCTCCGACATAATATGCTTTTCCTAGAAAAAGGACAATTAAGATTTAGTGGCAAATTTCAACCTGGTACCACAATGCCAAGGTGAAACCACCCAATAAATGTCTAGCTCCAACCTCAGCCCATCAAGCAAATCCCTTACCTCTTTCTTTTTCAGGATCGCCTTCTTCTGTAAAACTTTGACTGCATAGAATGCTTCTTCTGCTTTGTGTCTTGCTAGAAGAACCTGAAATTTCAATTAGAAAAAATCATTTTGTTGTCCACATCCAGGGTGAATGTAAGATGAGTCATGCAAGACTATAAGTTCTGAGGCCTTCAGATCTGAAATTACCTTTCCAAAACTGCCCTTCCCAATCACTTTCAAGAAGTGAAAGTCAGATGGTTTAGCGTGAGGATTGGATGATGGACCAAGGTTGATTTGCTGAGAAGGACTTGGCTGGAAAACAGAGTTTTCTTTTAATATCCTTGCTTCACAGGAAGACATCAGCAATGTCAAAAATGTCACATCAGCAGAAGACTGAGGCAACTAACCATACATCTATAAATACATTCAAAACTACTTTTCATCCATACATGTATTTCAAATGAGTATGGAAATAACTCACAATCACATTATTGTAAGCAGATAAAACTTTATGCAATATGCCTTTTAAAATACTTCACTGACTCAATACTTAAGTACTTATGACACTTGTTATGCCATGAATGAACAAGGCATTCCTGACTTGATACTAATTTTCTAGAAACGATGCTCATTTAATTCATCAAAGTAGGAAAACTAGCTGACTCATTTACAAGATTCCTCCACAGAGGCATCACAAAAAGAGACTACTTACTGGAGGAGAAGGGTTGGCATTCATAAGCTCAGGCTCCTGAGGTTGGGAGATTTTCAAAATGGACTGAACTTCAGGGCTGCAGAGGAGAAAGGCATCATTTAGAACCCCCTATCTCACCACAAGGGGGCACTCCGACACCAAGAGTGAGGTTTGGCCTCAACTTTTCCGGGAGAATTCTATACTTACACACACAAATAATTCACTCAGTTAAAGAAAATAATAAACCCAGTTAAACACAGCCATGCAGGTTGTTCTTCATGGAGAGGGGGTCAATGAGGCAAACATTTAAATTTTATTTTATAGCTCTAGAGCAAGTTAAACCAGCACATTAATTTTAACGTTTAAAATGTTTAAACTAAATTGGAACTTAAAGAGAAAAAGGATTCCCCAACCCCGGAGAAGCCTTCGGCTTCTTGATAACCTACTGAGGAGAATGGAATGTGTCTTTAGTGCTGGTAAACTGAACATACACTGTTTTTATTTTCCCCCATCCCCACAAACTTACTGTTTGCACGCATAGGAGTTATTGGCAATCTTCTGAATAAAGTCGTTCAGGCCCATCCTCCTCTGCTTCATAAAAGCTGTGAATTAGGAGAAATAAACGTTTAGACGGCTTCGTTACATCTGACGCCACACACGCTAATCCGATTAGGGCCTTACAAATTTTTCCACTTCCAATCTCCTAAATGTCCAGTCTACTCCTACACTCACCGATGAGAATTGCTACCATTCCCCTCATTTTGGAGTAGGTGAGGGTGCCCTTGGCAGCCTCGGTCTTCACCGTCATCACCACCGTGAGGATCCCAGGGGACAGAGGTTATGCGAGACCGGCTCTACCAACTGCCAACACTGGGCTCACGCCGCGCCTCCCGCCTTATAAGCGCAGCGCCTCCTCGGGGGCGGGGCCCGCGGGACTGGGGGGAGGCGGTGCTGCCTGGCCCCGCCCCCGGCCCGGCGGCCGCGCGGCTGGGCTGGTGGCTCCGCGGCGGCCGGCGGGCGGCGCGACCCCGGCGGGAAGGAGCTCCCGGGCGCGGGTGGGGGCGCGGGGACTGCCCGCGAAGGGCCCGGCGCGGGGCTGTTATCAGCCTGCCTCGGCTCCCGGACCGGAGAGAGGGAAGCCGCAGGCGGAGGGGGTGGGGAGGGAGGGCGAGGCCGGGGTAATTTTCCACCTTTCTCATTTATTCCGCCCGGCGAGGAAATCAGGCGCGGCGCTGGACGCTGGGCGCTTTCCGCAGTGTGCGCAGCGACCGGGTGGCTTTGTGCCCGCTCCACTTTCTCAAACTCTCCCTTTAAGTTCACTCCCGACCCGGGCGCCGACCCTCCCGCCTACTCCGCTGCGCAGCCTCCAAGGCCCCTGCGCGGCGACCGCACGCGGCCCGCCGGGTTATCGCTCGGGCGCAGGGCGGCGGCGCCCGGGCAGGGCGTCCCCGCGCGCCCTTATCTTCGGGTCACCGTGGGGCCGGGGCAGCCGGCCGGTCCCCCGCTCCCACCGCCCTCTCACCCCGGCCTCGGTCCCTCCACCCGCAGAGCGACTGCACACACCCAGCCCCGCTCGCCGGAGCCGAGCCGCTGGTGGGGCGTGAGACCAGCCGCGCGTGCCGGCCGCGGCGCTACCCCGCTCCCACCGCCCTCTCACCCCGGCCTCGGTCCCTCCACCCGCAGAGCGACTGCACACACCCAGCCCCGCTCGCCGGAGCCGAGCCGCTGGTGGGGCGTGAGACCAGCCGCGCGTGCCGGCCGCGGCGCTTACCCAGGCCCGTCAGCAGGAAGGACTCGCTCCTTTTCTGCGCCTCGGCCCTCTTTTTGTGGCGGGGCCGGAGCAGGGACTCGAGCCGGGCCCTGGCCAGCGCGCCTTGCATCTCCCCCATGGGCCGCGGCGGCCGGGCGCGCGGCGGCGAGAGGGACCGGAGAACACTGACGTTTCCTTGAAGGAGCCGCCGTGACTCAGGCCGGGCAAGATTTCCTGCCCCGAGTCCCAAAACAAACAAATGGCCCTTGTGCACGGCCGAGCCGCTTCCGAAAACGCCTTTTTTGTGCTTTTGGCCAAAGCCAAGCAAGGCTGAAAAATCCCAGAACTTGGAAGAGGAGGAAGGAAGAAAGAGGGAAGGGGGAGGGAGAGGTCAGGAATGTGCAGGGGAGGGGGCGGAAATAAAATTCGTCTCTGCACTAAGGAAAAAAAAGTACAATCTGCATTTCACTTCTTTTTTCCCCCTAAAGTAAGCTTTGAGAACATTCTGTCCCGTTCCGCAAGCAATTTTTTTTCCCTTACATTTTTAATCCCCGCCACGCCGAGAACACGTGAGTTAGTGGCAAGTTAGAGGAGCGGTGGCTCGATGCAGAGGGCCGACCTAGCGCGACCCAGGGGTAGTGCGGGGTCCCCCCCAGGCCTCATCGATTCCCCTGGTTCCTTATCCTGCTTTCCCAACTGAAAAGTCTGCAAGGTCGCATTGCATTGTCTTAGATCCTTTAGTTTGTCCTGTCTCCCCCCACCCTCCGGCGTATTTCAGGACTGACCCTGGAGTCTTTCTCTCAAGTCCCAGAGAAACTCGGACTCTTTTTAACTCCTGAAAGATTAGCCGCGGGCCCCTTTGCTCCAGAAAGCAGAGGATGGAGGGAAGCTCTGTAGAGCAGCGGTGTGGTGCCTTCCAGTAACCCCACCGCGGGGAGAGGTCTGGGAACTGCAATCTGACCGCCGGCGCGAAGACTCGCGCCAGCGCTAGCAGGGAAGCCACATTGAGCAGCGACCGGGCCAGGAGCCTGGAGACGGCTGCAAGTTACTGAGATTTGCAGAGCCGGGTACCTGGCGCTTGCTGGTGCTGCCTGAGGTGGCTGCCCTGCCATGACCCCTTAGTGCCAAAAGCCCTGCCATTTTAGAGTTGCCTACTGTGTCCGACACACTCTGAAATACCAGCTGTCAAACCAAGAATAGCATGTAAGGCGGCTTTTTTGGTCCTGATCAAGGGTTTGCGGACACAACCACCTCATTTGCCCTAATATGATCTGTAGCCTCAACTGCTTTTTGATTTGCTCAATTGCAACAGCTCCACACTGGGATGAGGGAATTTATAAGCTCTCTACTGGAGACTGGGAAATTTTGCTCAGCACCCAGTATTTTAAAAAGCACTTATTAGTGCCCCCGGTTGACCTTCCAACCTAAAACAAGGTTTAGGAAATTGCAAATCATAGTAACTGGCCCACTTACGCTTTGTCTTGCATGGATTCTTCATATAACATAACTTCATTATTGCCAATGCCATACTCCATCAACCAGCTTAGCCCAGCCCAGCGCTGCTCCCACACTGTTCCATCCCCTTTTAAGACAGAAAATTCTGCAAAGACTACCCAGAAACACCAATCTGCACCAAGATTTCTTCTTGTTTGTTTTTAAAACCTTAATTAAGAAATCTTCCATTAGAGACCCTCCACTCTGCCCCATCTCCTGTGCCCTTGCCATACCAAGCAACCCCAAATCCTCCAAATCATCTTTATTTTACTCATTCCATCCAAATTAGAGTAATAAAAGCAGACGAACCTTTCAAAGGGGATTTTATAGCCTCCTCTTTCATTCTTCAGGTTGCCTAGGATATGAGGTTGGGGCTTACTTTCTGAAGACTGGAGGTGGAGCTCAGTTAGGGCTGGAGTAGCTCCCTGTTATGTGCCTGATAAGGCTGAGAGCTGAGATGACAAGGGAGCTCAAGTCAGAGGCTGCTGTCCCTGCTCTGTTAGGAACCCAACTTTTTATAAAGGCAATTTACATACAGGAAGGGAGCAAGCTGCAAAGTTCAACACTGGTCCATTTATTCCCTCCGTTGCAACATCACCCAGAAAATTACAGTCATCAGCGTCCTGGGTTTATTACCACCCCTAGCAAGACATACAAGAAATGTAACTTGACTGATTATCATCACAAATCGGTCCAGAAAAAATTCAAAACACATGCAAAGGGTTCATTTTCTCAAAGCTCTGCCTTTTGCATTCCAGGAGGAACGTGGAATTTAAGTTAGAGGGCTCGAAGTGGAAGACTGAAGAGGCACAACCGTATGATTTGTGGGCGGAAGAGACAAGGAACGTCTGATGCTCTCCTTCCTCCCCCTACCCCAATGTTCAGCAGTTGGAGTCGGACCGTCTGCTAAACTTGTCATTTCACGTGGAGAATCAAGTTGTTGAGACTGGCTTTTCCTCCAACCGGATACCTGATGGGTGGAGCAGGCGCCCCCTGTTCTGTCTCAGCAACCTACTAAGACTTCCGAACCGGAAGGTGACACACGGCGGTGGGTGTATGGGGCCGGGGGAGGTAGGCTGGGGTGGGGGGGTACTGTGTGGGTCGCGCGCCTGTTAGCTCTGTACAAGCTTTAGGATGCCCTGGAGCCGCTATTCAAAGGTTTGATCTGTTCTTCCTTCCCGTCACCAGCCTTTTTCTTTGGTCCAAACAGTTTTCCTACCGGGAGGAATCCGGCCCCTTCCCTCTTAACTCCCCGGTGGCGAAGTGGCCAGAGTTGCGTCACCAGATTCTGCTTGTAAATGCAACCTAGAGGGCGATCGCGTTCTCCGGGAGAACCAGTCCGGAATGCTTGATTTCCCCCGACTTGCCTCCAGAGGATTAATCAGTTCCAGATAATTCCTCTACAGCACCTTGTGCAGCTAGAGAAAATACACACCGCTTGATAGGAGATACTCGAATAACCTTCTCATTCTCCAAATCATCATCTCATTCATCCCTCATCCTGGGAAAACTACAATCAAAACTCACCAATGGAAATGATTCAACAAGATGTAAAGTTTGCACTGAAACAACATTTTCCAGTGAATGTGTATTTTAATACTTCAAAAAATCGTTTTAGCTCATCTACTATATTTTTCTTTAATGATGGCCTATAAATACTAAAACCTGAAAGGTTTACTAAGATGTGACCTTTTCCTTTCAAAGGCTCAGAAAACAAATTCCTAATGTTTCTGCACACATTAGAGGAAATATTTTGAAAAATGCTTTTTTAAGGACCTCAGTATATTCCCTCTTGGACTACTTCTTAATGATGTCAACTGTGTTTATCTTCATTCCCTAGATATAGTATCTTCCATTGGTAACAGGGCAATATAATTGCTTTCTATTGATGAAAGTGCCATAAATTCTGGAACAACCCTGTGTACAGTTTAGGCTCCCATACTTAGTGATTCGTTGGTTGATGCTGATAGCATCCATTTCCTGCAACATCACTGAAGAAAGTATATACAAATGCCAGAAACATAATTATTACTCTAGAGAGTTTTTGTTGGATCGGTTTTTGTTAGAAGTTGTTACCAAGTGCATGTCTGTTTTACAGCATTCGTCAAACAGAAAATGATGGCAACAAGTGAGTTTATTCAGGATCACTATTATAGATAAGTAACAGCTAATGGTAGTTAAATAAATGTCTATAGAACACACATCCTGTATTATCACCTGCATTTGTACTTGTCAAAAGTGATGTGCATAAAGCACAGAGATTGTGATACAGTGGAGAACTAAGAGAACACAGAACCTAAAATAATAGTGTGAAGAATTATTAAAACCCATAAAACTACATGTTTTATTATGAGAAACTTGTTTTTTTTTAGTATGGAGGCCTTATGTTTTCTCTAATGGCATTTTTTAAACTCTAAGAATTAAGCACTTATTGTTACTTTTCTTCTGAGTTGAGCAGATGATAGACAAAATTGGGAAGTAGCAAAACTTGCTTTAGAATCAGACTTTTCTCCTTCTTGTTACCCTTCTTTGTCACTGAAGTTGACTCCTATGCCTCGCCTACTTCCCACCCATTCCCCTGACATGCTATGTGGTCCTGCAAACTGAAATACTGCCTGTCACCCTGTTCTCACCAATGACAACCGCCTCCAAACCCAGCTCTCAGCTAATCACAGGAGATGTTAACCTGATCTTTCTCTTTCCTTTCTTCCTTCCCTTCCTTTCTCCCTGCCTCCTATCCATTCACTTACACAGCGTTTAACAAGCTTTTTAAAAGTACAAATACTAAGACAAAGGGACACATTTATGAGTCATCCAGTTATCTGACTCACAGAACCTACCATTCTAAGTGAGGAGACATACATGTACATTTTGACACAATATAATGCATGTTAAAACAGAGGTCTGAGCCATCTGTCATAGAAGAACAGAGGGAGAAATTTTCTGGGGAGAAGCAACAGGCTTAGAATTGTTGAGGGAAGTCTCCACAAAGAAATGATATTTGGGCTGGTCCTGGAAAGACTAGCCAGGTACAAAAGAGGAAAGTCATTCCAGGCAGAAGAAATAGCATGAGTACCAAACTCCAAGGTGCTGTGGAGCACCTCTGGAATAATTTGGAAATATGGCCCTTACTCAGGCCTTACACACAAATTAAATGTATATGGCCCTTTTACTGCTATCACTGAAATGGGAAACAGCACCTGCCAGTGACATGAAAAAGATCCCAGCCGTCCCAAATCTGCTTCTCCCTCTCACTGCCTTCCTCACTATAAATATAGAATTAATAATGTCTTTAAAACATATCCATTTGAAAGACAGCTAATTATCGCCCTGTAGGCATCTCTGTGTCTGGTACAGCTCTAGGCATGGTTGGCGTTCATTCATCAACAATTTCTTCTAGAACTATGCACCAGACGCTGTGCTAGATGTAGGAGACACAGAGGTAAAAATGAGCGCATACGGTGAGGCACAGGTGGGGAATTACCTACAAAGGCAGAGTGAGCCCTATTGTGAGGAGCTCTAAAAGCCACCAAGGAAAATCTCTGCATCAAGGCATTTAAACGGACACATTCCAATGGTTTTGGAACGTTAATTCAAACCAAAATGTGATTGATAACTATTATTCCTTCAAAGGATATTTGCCTTTATTTTTATTACCCTATCTCATTAAAAAGGATGAAATTTACGTACACAAACATATAAGAGAGTGTTGGAAGTTGTAATGGGAAATGAATGTAGTTAGAAGATGGATGAACATTTAGAAAAGCATAGTTAAAGTCTAGTACAGAGATTAACCGTTTTTCAGAGGCCATAGCACCAATGTTTTAAACGCTTCCACAAAGTCAGGCCCCAGGAAACTTGGCAGGAGGGTGGGGCATAGTTTTGTAGTAAATTTCTTATTTCAGTCAGGGGGCAAAGGAGGCCAGTGAGAGTTCTTGACGAGGGAGGAATGGGAATCTAGTTAACAACAAACCAATGAATCCATGATGGACTGAAAACTCATCTTAGCCCCATCTTGGAATGTTGTCCATGTCTGATGTATCATAATCCAATGAACAATAAATAAAAATTAAAAATAACTGTCAAGCAGAATACAATATAAAGGACAAGGGACAGCACATATTTGGCAGCTTTATATTTGACTCTCAGGATTGACCTGGAAAATGACATCCAGGAAACTTTCTATATGACTATAAAAAACAGTACAAGAATAAGTTAGAAAAATATTTTAAGTCAAAATCCAATACTATCTGTGACTTTCTGACCACAGAAGGACTACAGCTTTACTGAAAGCCTTATATATTATTGACATAGCTTTATTATTAGACATTTATCACTAGGCATTTATATATTGTCAGGCATTTGTTTTTAGAAAACTGTTAATTCAAAAACATTAATTTGTAAGGATAAAAGATCAGGCATTAAGGTACGGAAAGCCAGAGCTTTGGCTGAGAAGCGTCTCCCTTCTCTCTGTCCAGGGGGATGCCATGCATGCACTTACTTCCCCTGAAGTCCCACAGCCCAGCCTTGGTGTTCAGGAAGCACAGGGTTTGGAATTTTCTTTGCAGGCTGAATCCTTCTTGGGACACACATATGGAAGTTGCAACCTACACAGAGGCAGTGTAAAGGGTTCTCTTCACCCCCACTTTATTTATAAAGTGCCCACAGGAAATAAGGAGCTTGGTTTTCTCGCAGACATCTGCCAAACCAAAGTAAAACCTGAAGGCTTTAATTTGCTCAGTGCAAATCTCTCCTTCAGCCTCTCCTATTGCTGACCTCATAATCAATCGAGCAAGAAGCAACAGAAGCTCAGGCCACCCCTAAGGACTGTTTCCTGTAAACCCTGACTACAAACCGCAGCAACAAAGTGAGATAAATGTTATAGTAACCAGCGGTGGGAAAATGGGGGACAGGAAGGCTGGCAGAGGGTTGACTGGTGTCATTTTAATATAAAGCAGCTTAGTGAGCTTCCTTTTCATTGCTAACCCTGGAGGTAAGCTATGTAAATGTTTATGTCACCTCCCACAGCACTCTCAGGAGTGGCTGTAACTTGCTGAGGGT